GCTCATGTGGTTAACCAAAACAAATGTTTGCTTTTCCTCAGACTGCCTCAGAGAATATGTGAGAGGGGTGGAAGTTGGCATTGAGCGTCTCTTTCATTTGTAAATGAATTAGAGTCTGATGAGCAAAAATGAACAGAAATCAAAGACAAAAAATTTCCCGCAATCCCAGTTGTTTTCTTCTCCCACCTTACCCTGAAGACCAAAAACACGTGTTATTTTTAATAACATATTATTCCTTTCACGGCTGTAAGCAGACGCTCTGAAACTTTGAGCTCAAGAGTCCAGCAGATTTAACTTTTAATTGGACCCAATGGCACTTGATGTATAATGCAGTGTAAAGGCTGCTCACTGTAAACCCACCGTTTCCCAAACCTGCAAACAATTTGCTATTGTGTAAATGACACACATGATCATTATGAACATTTCTCAGCAATGCTTCCCTTTAATGACCACATGAAACTCTGATGTCGCTGGTAATATATCCGCCTCCCAGAAAAAAGAAACTCAGACGGTTTACATGTTTTTACATGTCTTTACAGCTAACACACAGAGCCAAGTATTTGTACTATGAAGGTATTATTCTATTTAATATATATTTTCAATTCCATGCTTTTTTTATTTATCTTCTTGTGTTGGACTGCTGCCTTCTGGTTTTTACCCTTGCCTGCCCACCATCCCGTAAGCCTTTTGTATCTTGATTTTTCTGCAATAAAATCATTGAATTGCACTAGCTCTGCCTCAAAAATCTGCATTTGGGTCCTATCCCTTGTTACCATGCTTGAAGCAGCTGTGACGGATATCCAACAGTTGGACGTGTTTATAAGTAGGCCTAGCAACTAATTACTAATTTCATGTTTTTTAGAACGCAAGCAGCAAGCAAGCGGCTGTGGCTCAGAGGCAGAGCGGGTCGTCCCCCAATCAGAAGGTTGTTGGTTCGATCCCCAGCTCCTCCTGCCACGTGTCGAAGTATCCTTGAGCAAGATACTGAACCCCAATTTGCTCCCTGATGCATAGCATCGTGTGTATGAATGAGTTTTGAGTTTCTGTTCGATTGACTTCTGCCAAAATCAACTGTGTGAAAGGGTGAATGTGGCACGTAGTGTAAAAGCGGCTTTGGTGGGTCGGAAGAACTAGCAAGGCGCTATACAAGTACAGGTCCATTTACCATTCACCTCACAAAGTATCTTTGCATCATATTTCTCCCACCTTGCCCCCGTGGGGAGGTGCCTCACAGTTTGTAAACCTCTGGTATGGCCAAATACCACACTGAATTTTTTATGGGCCTTTATAAGCCTACAGCCAAAATTCAAACAAGCGAAACTCCTCCTGCACATAAAAAACAGAAGAAACCTTGGGAGAATCAACTGAAAGAGAATTCCCCTCTCCTGAGGCAGCTAGTAGCCAATGTCTCAAAAGCAATTTGCAAACACTGTTTACTTGCAAATGGTGACAAATTTCAGTTTGCTAATGTGTGGGTCACAAGTGTGGAGTATGTTTTGATTAATGAATTGTGTCAAATTGAGTAAGAGGGATTGCCAAACAGAACTTCCATAAGCAAATTTGGGAAATGTGTGCCACCACCATAAATGTTGAGGTAACATGTTTAATCTTGTACTGTAAACCAGCAGGTGTTAAGATGCTTGATTTTTCTTGCAGCGCTCTATAGCAACTAAACCTTCTAATATTTTCCAGGTACGCTGTTTTTTATTTTGAAACTATGAAGTGTGTGTTTAGCAGCAGTAAGTGAGTCAGTAAGTGTGGATTTGGATGACTGTTTACAAAAACATTCACATTTGCCAAAAAGAATTAAACTTGCTTGACATCCAAATTAGCTCTAGCCCCTGAACTGGTTACGTTAAAGATTATTGGAACCCTGGTGCTATCTAGCAAACCAGCCCACGTTTCCATCAGTTTTGAGTGAAACAATTGTAATCAAGAATGCGTCATCAACAGAGGGCGGTGTACATTGCTTAACAACGTGTAGAAACCGGGTTCTGAACCGGTTTATTTTTGGTCAAAATACTCTAACCATATTGGTGCCAATTCTCTGTTGGTGAAAAGGGCTTATAAGTGAACTGTGAGTGTGAGGGGATGATGAACCCTAAGACCAGACTAGTTGGCACCCACCTAGAGCCGGGGTTTGTCAGAGGTTTCTGCCAAGTTTTTCCTTGCCGCCGTCGGCCAAGTGCTTGCTCATGGGTGGGAACGGGTTGGGCTCTGTAAGATAATGCGTTAAAAGGAGTTCGCACGTCTAGAACCTGCTCTATTTTGAACAAAAGTGTCCTGAGATAACCTCTGTTATGATTTGGCGCAATACAAATAAAATTGTATTGAATTGAATTGAATTGGGAACTAGTACTCTAAAGTGAAGTTTCCAGTGTGCATTTGTCTGTCTTTTTAACACACAGACCCACCTCAGTAACCAGCTTCATGTAGAAACATGTCAAAGCTTTCTATCCTATCCATTCCATCAAGCACACTGTATTTATAGTTTTTAAGTTTAGTCTCAGAATGAGTGAAACCTTACAAATGATCCCACAAGAAACTTTGAAATGAAGAAATCAAGTTACTGCGTAACAGTAGTTAAATGTTCTTTGGAAACAGTCAGCAACCCTTGCACTTTATATCTAATGTCAGACATTTTTGTTATAACTGCTAGTTTTGCTGATATATGATATCTAAAGTCAGATGTAGCATTTGGAACTACTTTCTCTCTGTAACTTTAGTTAAAACAAACTCTGGATTTGTCCTGAGAAAAGCTTTGCTGTGGTTTAACCTATTTTCATGTGAAGAAACTTGAAGCTTGTGCATAAACACTGAGTAGGTGTAAGGCAACTGAAGGAATCTGCTTTAGTGCCATAAAGATGAGCAAAGAATGCTGTTCCTTTGAATGCTACCAGCATTACAGGTGTCTAGAAAGGAAACAATGTATTGGTCTGCCTGCTGTTATGCCTGGTATGGTGAGGAAGCAGGTGCTTAGTCTTTAGGTCAGAGTGTGTGTGTGAGAGAGCTCCCTCAGGCAGTGCCAGCACTGTTCTCCCAGTGTCTCACATTCTCTTCCAGCTCAGTGTTGGCCAGTCGCCTGTGCTGGAACCCAGGGGAAAGCAGCTATACACACACACACACACACATACACACACACACACACCTACACACACACACACAGGAACACAATAAAATTGCTTAGAATAGCACAAACAGAGGAATATCTCCCTACAACACATACAGCAATTACAATGTTGGGCAGTGAGCCCAGGCTATAGGGGCCACAGTGTGGTGGTTCAAAGAGAGGCCAATCGACTCTGCAGTAATCAGAGCTGCAACAATCAGAGCAGAGTAAACTGACAAGACATTGAGCACAACCTCTAAACAAAGTGGAAACGGCTCCAGTTATCTGGTAATTAGCCCACGGGTTCAACAGAGCCGCTTCATCAATGCTGGTACATACAAATTAACTGTTTCACAACACCAGTGTCTGACCACATTTCGGGGCGGCTGTGGCTCAGAGGCAGGAGGCGGGTCCGTCCCCCAAATCAGAAGTTGTTGGTTTCGATCCCCGGCTCCTCCTGCCACGTGTCGAAGTATCCTTGAGCCAAGATACATGAACCCCCAATTGCTTCCCGATGCATGCATAGCCATTAGCAATGAATGTGTTAGTTGCTGTTCGAGTGGACTTTCGATGAGCGTTCCATCACTGAGTGAATGTGTGTGAAGAGAGGCGTGAATGTGGCACGTTGTAGTGTAAAAGTGCTTTGAGAGTGGTCGGAAGACTCGAAAGCGCTATACAAGTCAGGTCCATTTACCATTTACATTACCATTTACCATCTTCCTGCTAGTCTGATGTGTCGCAATTCAAATGCGTTTATAGTTGGAGTTTTGCTTCCATTGCAAATAACCATTTACTTCTGTTGAGGATGTCTGACAGAAAATGTCCCTTGTTGTTGTTCCGACCAAACAAATGGTATTCAAGCCTGAACCACGAGCAATGGTAAGTTACTTCTGTTAGATCCTCAAAAAGTTTGGCTAAAAATAAGGGAAGCTTGGTTGTTGGCCGTATTGCTGAACAGAGTGGGAAAGAGGAGTAACGTACAGGAAGACTTCATCAACAGTAAGCTCAAAAGGAAGAGTCAATCACAGTGCCTGCCCACAGGGGCAACCACTACACTCCGGCAAGTGTCGACGTGCATCACAACCACACATCTTTTTCTATGGAAGCCGTGCACATCAGCTTTGACTAGATGTGTGTCATCACGAGTTGATGCATGTCAACACATTACGATTATGCTTCTGGTCTCCCGAGCATTTAAAGTGTCTGCAAATTTTACTGCTCGGCACTTCTCACTCTTGAAGTGACCTTTTCCATTGACAATTAGACTGAGAGAGGTTTTTTTGACAATACAGGACAGCCATTATATATTATATTATTAATAATTATGATTAAATCATATAATGTTACCGGTAGGCGCTAAGCTATGTGATTTTAAACCCCAGTTTTATTCCTTCTCGTACACATTATTTGGCCAACAGCCCATCAGTAACCAGATAAATAACGTAGGAATTTAAATTTGATTTGACAGAAAAGACATTTTCTAGAAGTTGTTATTGCAACATTGCTTGTGCATGTAATTTTTTCCACCATACCAACAAATGTAAAATTATTAAAAAGGCTGGTATGCATGTAGATATGACCACTTCTATTGGGGCTTCCTGAGGGATTCCACTCTTGGCCTCCTTGAAAAAAGCTGACTAGATGTCAAAAAGCACTGCTGTAGGTCCATTCTGCTTCATACACACAGCACCATAACTGGTAGAGGCAGAGAGAGGGAGAAAGACAAGACAGAGCAGGTGGAGGTGGAGGATGGAGTGCTAAGGTAAATGGAGCCCACTGATCATTGTTTAAGACCAAGGATGGTGATCAGTTTGAAAGGTGCTTTAGTTACCCAGTTACTCCAAACCAACACATCTGCTTTATGGTCAAATGTTTAAGCATGATACCTCACCATCACTGTTGACACATTTGCACTTGTGGCATCTGGGTTCCTGGTCCACGCCTCCCCTCATTATCAGGACGCACTCCCTCCAGTTTATCACCAGCCAGTCGTAGCAACTGGGGTCTTCACACGGTATTGCCTCCACCGAGGTGGGGGCAGTTCCCCGTCCCGCCCGTCGGCTCATTGACGATCCTCCTCTTCCTCAGTTTGAAGCCTGTCGGGGAACAACAGGAATCTAATGAACTAAATGAACAGCTAACGCTTAATCAACCACAGAGCCCCCCCCCCCCCTCTGTGATCTGCTCAGCAAAAACTTGCTGCAATTTGACAAAATCTAATGTGTAACTGTAAGGACATTAACTGCACTCTGTGGTCACAGTGTGCCTTTGATTATAACCATTATATTGCATTTAACATGACAGTCCATTAAGCCTGAAGTTGACAGAAAATCCAAGAAGAACTTCACATAATGACTGTTTTTATTCTCCTCTCATTACAGTAGCTTTTATCCAAAATGACTAATGCATGCAGGAATCCATTAATTCATCTGGGGTTCATGTGTGTGTCATTTCCTCTGCTCAAGGGCATGAGATTCCATGACCCAGGTCCTGGGAAGGGGGGATGTTAACACCAGCCCAGCCAAGGTCACCCACCCCCTAATCCACACTCCTGCTCCAGCCCGATAAGGCAGTAGAGCCCTGGAGTGCTTGCAGGACTCAGGTGGAGGTGGCAGAATCTCCCCCTTTCTATTTCATTTTTGTCTCTCTTTTTCCCCTCAAAACCTTTAATCAGGCAGGACAGCAGAACATGTGCCGCCATGTGTCTAGACCCATTGATGGAGGTTTTATCTAAGGGGGGTGGGGGGTGGGGGGGCGTATATGCAGGAAGATGAGACTTGGGGTGCAGGGAATTCAATTCTATCAGGCATCAGTCACTTGCTATCTGTAGGGTGTATTATGAACAGCATGACCGCAAGATAGCAGTGCACAGGCAGCTGCTGTCAGACCAAGAGGCTTCATTTTGACTGAAGACATACATATATGGAAACAATCATATGTGATGACCTATCATGTACATGTTATCAGCTCAGGACACTAAGGCTGTGCAATTATTCTCAAGAAACAGTGAGGAGTGTAGAGAAAGTAGATATTTTTTTATACCAAATCAAAAGTACTGTTTTTCGTTTTTTTTAAACTAAAATCACAATTTGAAAGAATTTTCAAATCTCAAGAGTCACAATTTCAATCTTACATTATTAACAGTGTTATAACTGTAGGAGGTGAAATATAAGTGAAATGTTACTTTCAAGTAAATCACAGCTTACAGATAATAAACTGTAGACAGTGTCTTTCATTTAAAGGGTATATAGATTAAGATTTTAAACATTAATATAGCAGCAAACAACTATTTGTTATGTAAAGATACATCGATCAGCCATAACATTATGAGCACCTAGGCACCCTCGTGGTGCCCAGGTCTGCAGTCTCATACCAACAAACTGTGATGCTCTGACCCAGTCGTCTAAGCCATCACAATGTGGCCTTGTAAAAAGTCCGCTCAAATCTCTCACGCTGCCCAGTTTTTCCTGCTTCTAACACATCAACTCTGAGGACAAAATGTTTCACTTGCTGCCTGATACTAATCGCACCCACATGACAAGGAGCCATGAATAACCAGATAATCAGTGTTCACCTGTCAGTGCTATCGCAGCCTCTCTGTGGTTTGTTTAGAGCTGAGTAGAGCGACTGAAACCGTAGTTTCCATCATCTGTTGGTGCTAAGACAGATTTGGTTTGTTTTATTTTGTTTTTGTGCAGTTTGAACAAAGTTACGATGTTCCAAGGATATACAAGGTAAAATTTCCAGATTTGTCTCTGGAGTCTGGTAGCGAGCGATATTACAGCTGTTTTTGGTTAAACGGTATATCTCTGTAGGGTTCCTTTCCATAATGTTATCAGACATTAGAATAGAACAGAATAACAATCTGGACATGTAAGTGGCAACAACAACAATTTTTAAAGGACATATATTGACGGGCAGAATTGTCCCCAAGGATTAGCTAATGTCACATGCTTCATACAAACATATTTTATTTTAATACTGCAAACTGCAGCGGCCTAGAGTTAAAATTACAAGAAATGAATTCAATGTAAATCTCAGGTCCAATATTGCTCAGGAAAAACTAAATTTGAGCTGTTCAGATACTAGAAAGGTGTGCATTCCTCTACATACAGTACATGATAAAGTACTAACATTCATCAAACTAACATTCATCAAACTAACGTGTTGTAATCAAAGCCAACTGATTTCCATGTTCCATGTCAGGAGGATAAAAAACATACACATTTTGAGTCCGTAGATTCCTGGATAATGAGAGCCAGGGTACACACGCTTGAGGGTGTGTGCGTGTGTGTGTTCATGTTCACTTTCCATACAGTAGACAACAGCAAGAGCAGAAGTAGCGCAGTGAGCAAACGAGTGAGTGAAAGCGGATCCATCATTAAGATGCATGTAGGAGAATTTCCAACTGTCCCTTTCATTTGAGGCGCTTCATTAAGGCAGAGTCAACAAGCATTAGTCATGGCGGACGCTGCTGTTCCAGGCATAATTAAGGGCTGAACCATCAACGGCGTCAACCCTGCTGATGGACTAGCACAACAACCACCAAATAGGCGGAGGGGATGATGATGCTTTGGCTCCTACTTCACACTTATGCCCTCCTCTAGTCAGCCAGAATTTTGACTTTGATGCCTATACTAAGTTAATATGACTAATACTAATATAAAAGAAACACATCCAGCAATATTGCAGAGTAACATTGTGGGGTGTTTTGTTCAGTTGCATATGTACATAGTTGACCTGCATGTACACATGTGGGCGATATATAGGGAGAAATGAATTAATTTGTGGCACATAATAACATACTATTTTATCTTTGGGCTTGGGGGAAGTTATCAAGGATTTTCAGGTAATTCTGAATGAAGTCACGAGTCATTGGTAATAAAATCGAGTTGCATTTTTCTTTTGTGATTACAATATATACTGTATGTTCAGCAATTGACAACACATTCCGGGTGCTAAACAAACCACTTACTATTGTTTTGGTAGCAAAAGTCAGATAGACTGGAGAGGCGAGCAGTTGCTCGAAGAAACCATAACCCTCTGACCCTATTGTTAACATGGAAAGTGAGAGCTCAACAGCCACAATATTAAATGTAAAGAATTGCTATGGAGAAACAATGTGACAAGACCGCAGTGGGGATACATTGGCTACTTAAAGGGGACATAAAGCTGATTGGTGATCATACATGCTATGCTCTGATGTAAATTTGTGCCAACAAAGATAGGCGATGCCACATACTTGACATAGCTCGGTATATTAAAGATAGACCTACTTCTCACTGGAGGCCCCATTTTCATTGTCACACAAAGCCAGTAGTAGTGTCAATTTTGGGGGGCAATGATTCAAGTGAACCTGCTTGCACCAAAGGGGAAATGGTAAAGGGGGGTTGCGTTTATGCAAAGGGAAAATTCTAGTATTCAGATTCTGAGGTGCTTGTAGAACTAACACTGTATGACAAAGTGGCATTATAATTCTCACAGTGAGGTCTTACCTTTTTTGGCTGCCTGCTCCTGGCAGTTTTCATAAGTGCAGGGTCCCCAGGCACTCCACAAAGACACCTCACACTCAACAGGACAGCTGATATGGCAGAGCTGGGTGGTGTTTGGGGGGATACTCAGACACAGATCACTGTCCACTGGTCGCAATGCTATGGAGACAAAGACATGATCAATGGCTCACTGTAGAAATGCGTTCCACAGCTCTTGTCACTGATAACCCTGCAAACAGTGTTCAACAGAGGAATCACACATAGGGGAATGAAGCCAGGTTGCCAAGATGGTGAAAGAGTGTTTCCCTCTGGAAACACCAGCTGCACAATGAGTAAGTTTTGTCTTAAGCAAATGAAATGCATGCTCGATCGGGTTGAGATCTGGTGATTGACTCGGCCATTGCAGAAATTCCACTTCTATGTTTTGGGTCATTGTCTATCTGTACTGGTGAAGCGCCAATCAACTTCTGAGCAGAAAGAATATCCCTGTACACTTCAGAATTCATCCGGCTGCTTCTGTCTCCTGTCAAATCATCAATAAACCTAGTGACCAGTGCCGTTGGAAAGCCACGCATGCCCATGCCATCACACTGCCTCCACCATGTTTCACAGAAGATGTTGGTGTGCTTTGGATCATGAGCCATTCCAAGCTTCTCCATACTTTCTTCTTCCCATCATTCTGGTACATGTTGATCTTAGTTTCAGCTCTCCAAAGAACCGTGTTCCAGAACTGGGCTGGCTCCTTAGATGTTTTTTGGCAAAGTCTAATCTGGCCTTTCTATTTTTGAGGCTGATTAATGGTTTGGACCTTGTGGTGAACCCTCTGTATTTGCTCTCATGAAGTCTTCTCTTTATGGTAGACTTAGATACTGATACACCTACTTCCTGGAGAGTGTTCTTCACTTGGGTGGATGTTGTGAAGGGGTTTTTCTTCACCATAAAAAGGATCCTGCGATCATCCACCACTGTTGTCTTCCGTGGACGTCCAGGCCTTTTTGAGTTCCTGAGCTCACCAGTGCGCTCTTTTTTTCTCAGGATGAAAACTGTTGATTTGGCCACATTTATAGCCCATGCAGCCCATGAAATAGCTTTTGAGTTAATTGTCCAATTACCTTTGGTCCCTTGAAAAAGAGGCGGCTACATTAAAGAGCTGTAATTCCTAAACCCTTCCTCCAATTTGGATGTGAATACCCTCAAATTAAAGCTGAGAGTCTTATATAATGATATAACTGTATCTTGAACAATTGTTTGGTAAACAGCTAAAATAACAAAACTTGTGTCAGTGTCCAAATATATATGGACCTAACTGTATGCGTGTATGTATTAGGGCTGTATATTGGCAAGAATCTGGCGATACAATATGTATATAATAATAATGTCATAGCATAAAGAAGACACTGCCATATGCATAAAATCTGAATTAAAAAATATTTTTTAATGCAACCGTGGGGTCTGCATTTTTATCATAACACTGCTATCTAGCAGGAGGGGGTCTAACCACAACAATCGATAGTTTCTGAGAATTTATACAATATTACAAAACAAAATATTGCAGTATGATTTTTTTTGCCCCCTTGTATGTATGTATACTTTTATTTGTGTGTTTTAAAAAGTACAATATACATAAAATGATTGTTATTGTTTTGTTAAGCTGTACAGAAGAATAGAATGATGTGCAGAGACAATAGTATTTCAACTCCAGTCTTCAAAGCCATGTGAAATCTGTAGAGTTTAACAAAATAAACCACACAGACTTTACTTTAGCCACTAAAAAAAAGAAAAAGAGGCAGAAGTTGGTCTTTTAGATCTCCAATGCCCCCTGCCTTCAGAATCCCATATCGCCACTGAAAAAAAATCCTTTTAGCTAAAAATCAAAGCCAAAAAAAAACACTCTACTCTTTCATTCACAGCACCCCCAAATCTTCCAATACCAGACAACTTTGAGACAACAAAGCTTCTTTTTTTTTTTCCAGCACAGTGGGCCAGTCTTCCATTTGGCCTGATTCTCGGCGGACCTCAGCTCCAAACAACTGTAGGTGACTCTCTGCAAGGTCGTCAGGCTGATGAATCATTCTCACTGTGCCACAACATGACTGAGCCTCATTCACATGCAAATTGCCTTCGCTTGGCCAAAGGTGCGTCCGTTAATAGTGTCGCTTAAGTGTGTGTATACGTGTGGCATGCCCTTGAGTGTTCATGTAACACAAGAACAGGTGATTTGTCAAATGTTGTGACATGTTTAGGTGCTTTATCAAATAGTTTTATTTTATAAATTCATTTGTTTTGTTTTTTTGTTTTTACAGTTGCTAATGTGTATTTGTGTAGAGAACAATACCAATTGAACTGGCTGACATATGGGACTACTTCTATCGGATCAGATTTGTCACTCCTATTGGGCTGTTCGATCTGACTGGGAATCCAATGGCTGGGGACCTGTATGATTCCTGTGGAACAGGAATGAACCAGTGGGATGAATTACATTAAATGTCACCATATTATTACCATCAAATGGCCAGTCATCAAACCAGATTTCTGACTAAAAAGAACTGACAGTTGTATTTTGAACTTTTGGTATTTTACATGGGAACTATAAGTGCTTGGTATTCACATGGGTTTGGGAGTAAAAGTAAAGGTTTGTTTGCCAATAAAAGTCACAACACTGCAAAATGTAAATGTACAAATTAAACTTTGAAAGCCATCAACCTCTGGCTGCCGACCTTTGGTGTCACGCGTTCTCGCATTGCCATTCTGAACCTTAAGAACAACATTTTTATTTTTCTACTCTCTGCACACTGCTCTCCATTTCATGAATCATTTCTGCCATGCCCCACTGTGACTGGCACAGCTGTGTAGAAGGTATAAGGACTGTAATGTGACTGGTTGAGAAGACAGTGATTAATTACCACACTCCTCTGAATGGTCCACCATTCCCCACTCAGTTGTGCATTTTGCACGGCTTCTATATGAACAGTCCACCAAAATCAATAATGTACATTTCATTTAAATACTGGGGGATGTCGGTTAGGTATTTTTTTATTTCAGTCTGGACCGACTAACCGACACAGCCATCCCTTAGAGCAACACCACTAACATGGCTAAAGATTTGGACAGTTGGAAGGCAGTCAGATCCACTTAGGTTGGCCAGTCCAGTAAGGGTTTATGGGAAATGCTGATAATATAGGCAGAGAGAAATACCAAATTGTCAGTACAGGCTGTGAAAATGCCATATCATTCTAGCGAGCAATAGCTTACAACTGGGAGGTATTAATATAATTATGATTGGCAAATATGCCACTGTGCTAACAGGTGCTCAATTAGATTGTCCAAATGACCTGTTGAAGACTTTAATTCCAAGATGTCCATGTGTTGTTGAACAGTCAGACATCCCATTTATTATGAAAAGCTTTTCATCCACATGGTTCATTAGGAACTTTTGGAGGACAAGGGCCTCTTTGGTCTCCTCCCTCCTCGCCCAGTCCGTCCACAACCATAACAAAGGCTGATTAATGGAAATCTCCACACAGACTGACCTTGCTTAGGTATCTCTGTGCCAGATGGTCTAGTCTTCCCTGTGCTGCGCTTCTAGCCACCAAATTAGGAACCTTAGAGGCCTGCCGTGCTGCGCCGCTATGTGCCAACTGTCATCAATAACCTGACTCCCAGCTCCTTTCCAGCAGAGGATTCATGGCATCACAGTGGCACAGCTGTTATACAGCATGTCACGGTTTGCTCCCCGATAGGGTTTTACATTCACCGGAACCACTACAGGAAAAACAGCTGATACAACTTACAGTGACAACATCTTCGAAAGAACTTGATATGAAATATGTGCCACCAGGAAGAATAAAAATCTGCTTATGATAAACAAAAAAACACTCCATTTGAGAATGTAGCTTTGTAATCAGCAGTGATCTTTGCATGAGTACGGCAGAATTTCAGGAAAATCCTTTGCTTTCCGAGTGCAAATTAAATCAAGAACTGGCAGTGATTTGGGATGGTAGCAGCTTCCAGTAATCGGACTAGGAATGACGTGCGTTTTATAGATATTACTGCCAGACTATCCTATCTTAGTCTCTTTGAGATTTGACATCATCCTTGAAAGCAAATGATAAGATTACATCAGCTTAATTGGGCTATGGATTCCCTTCACACAGCCGCTTGGCTCATCACAATGAAATCATCCACTGGATGCTCTGACACAAGAGAAATGATCCAGTTACTGTGGTCACATATGAAGGATACATTCAGAAGATGAGTGTCCAAGTCAATACTTAAAGTGGATTAAGATGTAGTTTCTCTATATATCTGCTGACTCCAATGACACTCTTTACTGACTCCTTGAAGTGATTATCTACTGTCCTCATGTAATATAAAGTTTGTCATTTGCAGCCAATAGAATCCCAATGTGAACCCGCAAATTTTGAGTACCTCAAAGTTTTATGTTAGAAATGTACAGTATGGGTCCCCAGCATTTAGAAACTGACAGATGCTAACTTGCATATGTTGGTCAATTAGCATAATTAGCATTAATAAGCATAATCACATATATGGACAATATTTCAGCAACTGCTTGACTGATTTGAACAATATAGGAGTGGTTTTGGGGCTTACTGAGGATGCTGAATCCATTTCTGACATTGGTAGCCAGTTATTTCAACTCCCTGTGGGCTGAGTTAGAGACTTTCTTGTGTATCTTGGGGAAATTTTGAGAAGGTTCCATTAAGTATTGTTCCTTAAAGATAACATTGTTTAGAAGCATGTTTGTTTGCTTGACTGGTGTCTGACTAAATCAGCCAGAGTTAAAATCTTCTGGTTTGAGTAAAGAAGGCTGTGAGTGGAAAACATACCCTTGTTGATGCAAGCTCCGAGTATAACTTGATGGCTCATACGCTGGTGTGAAAGGTGTTTAAGAGATAGAGACAGTGAGCTGACCAGATCCTTAATTTCCTCTAGCCAATCACTTGATATTATGCAAACACAATCAGACGAAAACCCTACACTTCCAAAAAACACCATCCACTGTAAGACTGCAGGAATTAGGTGTAGCCAATGCAGAAACAGCTGAAAGAAGGCAGTGTGCAAATGAATACGTGGGGTGGATAAAGGCTCTCATTTACATCAGGTGTGTCCAAGTAAAGGGGTGGCTAAAATTATACAAGACATGACAGCATAAAACCTGTCTGAGAGCGAGGACAGGTGCAGGGTGAAAAAAAGAGAGGAGGATGTGGCACTGCAGCTGAGCTGGCAGAGCTTTTTCCTCATTTATCACATTCATTCTGCTCTTTCTTTCCTCTCACTTTTTTCCCCTCTGCCACCATCCTTTGTTTGTGACACATAGAAGCAAAATCTAGTCACTTTTCACCTGTTATAATTCCTCCATCAGTGTCCCTTGCCTCCACCCAAAAACACTTTTCCATAGCCATTATCCTGTTAACATGCAGGCAGGTGCAGCCACTATTTCCTATACCTTTCTGACAATATTTGTAAGGGGAACGGTGGAAAGCGTGGTGGAGACTCACAGCTGTTAACAAAATGTGGAATCTTGACACTGAGGGATGAAAGCGCGTGGCTGGTTGTGAGCATCTGATCTGAATAATTTCTAATTGCAGACGCCAGTTCAGCCTCCCCGGCCAGATGGACTGAGACTTATTGTGTCAGTGCTGGATAAGCACAGGCGTGCTACCAAGCCACTTCCAGCCTCCTTGTGCTCAGTAATGCCACCAATTTACGTGAAAGCTCATATTTCATCTGCTATCCTCTCCGTGTGGCTTTTTGCACGTACATTAGCATATGCATATTGCTCAGTCCCAGATTTGATATGAAGGGAAAACCACTTTAATTCTTCTTTCTGGTCTCCACACGTGGCTGGTAAAGCAGGGGGAGGATATCAGTGACTCTGTGCAGAGCTGGAACAGATGACAGTACTCTGGTGTGTGTGTGTGTCAAACACAAGCCAGAGCAGATGATTCAAAAGCTCATAAACAACTTTTTTTTATCTGCCACTTGGCTCTATAACAGATGTGTTTTGAAACTGTTTTTAAGCAGGCTGTGTCAAAACATGAGCTATTGAAAATGCTGTAAACCCTCTTTGCTTTCTGTCGCCAAGATGTTGATTCTATAATGTTGTGCTATTTGAGCTGATAACAGCACTTAGGCGATATGAATCCTGTCTAATATAATGATAACTATGCAGTTGCATAAGTGGAACTGGAATTAAGCTGAGAATTACTTGCAAAGGGTCCCAGTCTGGGTTGGAAATCAAAATTTTTGTCCACCTGCCACTGTGGCTGCTGCATTTCAGATCAACCACAAATTTTTGTTACAAGCCACTTTCTTGTTTTAAAGCTGCAGTAGGTAATTTTTATAAGAACTTTTTTTTTTGCCCTTTACTGAAACTTTCACTATATCCTGACAGTAATATGTGAGATCTGGTTCCTCTGGCTCCTCCTAGTTGTCCTAATGGCATTTGCAAGAATCTACCAATCAGAGGGCGAGAAAGGTATCTGGGCGACAAAGGTATCTGGGTCCCAAAGCATCTGTATTTGACGCCCTGTGATAGATACTCAACAATAAACTATCTTCAAGCTTCCAACCCAAAGCGTCTTTCTATCTTTTTTGGCTCTGATTGCTTGTTTTTGTTCAGGCCCAGTGGATTCCTACAAATACCATTAGGAGCACTAGGAGGAACCAGAGGAACCTGATTTTTTCATGACAAAAGGTATTTTTTATAAAAAAAATTACTTAGTATAGCTTTAACTGACAATGTGTATGAAAAATATTAAAACAAAATCCACAATATTCAAGCAATAGGCTATATAACTTTTCGACTTAGACTTTATGTCGCCAAAACTGTGTGTGTGTGACTGACAAAATTACACAGCCACTGTAATACACATACATGATTTCTATAAGGAAAGATACAGTGTGTCTTGAGCTGTCAATCATAGTGACCCAGTCACCAAGGAAAATACACCCAGATGGTGTCAATTCAGAGCCAAAGACACCATTTGGGGAATATTTTCACTGGCAAAGTGTAGGCAGAACAGAAGTCCCATGTTACATTTATTGAGGTATATAGACTGGGTATGGAGTTTCTGAACATATTTCAATTACATGAAATGCATTACGAATCGTCATATTTAAGCATCACTATATTCTATTAGTCAGTCACCTGACTGGATATACTGTCCACCCGTTGGTATGAAATCACACAGAATAAGTGACAAGGACACACTTGGTGAACTCCAGAGTTTTAGTCAGATGGAGAAGGCTCCAGACGTCATTTTTTAAAATCATATTCAATCAAATTGCTTTTTGATTGCATGTGGTTTTCAACATAGAAAGGGCAGATCAATTCTTATTGGCTTGCTCTGGGTTCAAACAAGCTAAATGCCGGTGATAATATTGACTGGGTTCATTTCCCATTGCCTGCCCAGAAGTGTATTTATGTATGTAACGCTTTAAGAAATGGTGACAAAGGCAGTACATCAAATACATGACAACAGTAGAGACGACAGAAGAAAAGCATGCTGGGAAAGTCACCTTCTTTGCTCCTGATCGAGCCGAGGTTGGGCGGTGTATCGGCGCTGCTCTGGACACAGTAGACCTCTCGGGTCTGAATCCCACCTCCACACAACCCCGTTTGGTTTCCACGCCGACGGTCCTGTTGGCTCAGCAGCACGTCCACCCTGCACTCTGTCCACTCCGTAGTCTTCCAGTTGTAACTGAGGACAGAGGTGGACACAAGAAGATACAGAATGTAAGCCCCAGAGTGTCTTCTCTTCAAAAAAATAACTATTTTATTAGAAGAGAATTCATCAATGCAACAAAAGTCCTTATGAATGTTGCAGATCACTGTCGGGTTTCGAGAAAACGACGCAGGGGAAGGAAGTCTACCACTGTGTGTTGACAGATCGGTCTGGTGGTCTGGGCCAAACACAATTCATATTGACCAATATATGAAGGTATAGCCTTCATAGAGTCATTTTTATATTATATATAGTATATATTTATAAAGGTTTATGATATATGTGGACTAGATTTTTTTTTTAATTAATTATATTCTTCATATATCGTAAATCTTTGAATAAATAAAGGTATATATATATCTGCCAAAAACTACCCTGCACTACACTGATGTGTCTGCCAAACATTGTCTGGACATAAAATCAAGTATGCTGTGAAGATTTATTTGTCTTGTCAAATGTGCTACCACGTTCATATACAAACTGCTCATTTCCTTCCTTTCCACTCCAATCTTCTGTTTTAGAACCTTTCCTGTGTTTCCTTTCAATCTGTCATCTACACACTGGTTCTTTCTTTCTTTGCCAATTCATTTTAGTAGTTTAAAGCTCTTTTTGAGCAACATTCTTTGTTTCTGTGTACATTATAAGACTTTAAGACTATTATACTACATAGTCTTGGATATAACAAACAGACATAGATTAATGGATTTATTTCAAATGTTATATATATTGAATTAGGGAATATTTGAAAGATTAGAAATTCATGTTTGACTAATTTAATGCAGTAATTAAATTAACTTTAGAAGAGTGGATCATGGAAAAGCAAATCACAGCAACTACATTCATTTCATCATTGTTTGTTTCTGTCATACCTCAGTGAGCGCGGCCTGGAGGCTCTGAACAGGATCACTTGTTCCCGAGTGAGATGCGGTGGTGGCATTGATAGAAAGACTTTTTTATGTTATTGACCTTAAATCTCTGTTTACAATACACCTCAGGATATGCAGTTTAACGAGAGCGTCCACTGAGAGCTCTCTAAGGCTGGATGTTTTAAGCTGAAAGCAGGTTGTTAATTGCAGCGGCTATTCATAGTCGGGTTTGTGTCTTGTTGGTGAATTGGCAGCAGTCTGCTTCAGTAATAATGCATTGTGGTTTCCACCCTGAGGTCAGAAAATGTAAACCCTGCCTCCATCGCTGCTGATAATGGAATTCATTTGAGGTCGCCAATGAAAGGCTCCATATTCATGAGCAAGGGTCCTCTGTCTCTCTCCCGCTCTCAGTTGCTTCTGCACTGCTGCGGGACAATGAGGCCCCTGGGAAAGCATTGCATCTTGGGGCTTTAAGTTGCCCAGATGGGGACACTCAAACAGAGCAGTCCTTCAGTACCATGGACAGAACCTGCCTCTCTTCCTGCTGTCTGTCCAGAAAGCAGCAGGAGTCGATGGACATTGATTTACTGTTTCACATTATGACTGATTCTACTCTGCCCATAAAACTGGCTAATAAAATGAGCAGATGACTTCTAGTATTAAACATATGGGTTATAGAGAGATTAGGTGAAAGTGAAAATATTCCATAATGTGCTCCAGGGGTAAGAAAATTCATTCAAAGTCAAATTTTTCTACTAAAAATCCTGTTTTTACAAATTTTTACACAATAGTATGTCATGCACTTGTCTCCATTTGACAGGGATGGTAACCGTTTAATTTTAGTTTGGCCTTTATTGAAGCAAACAAGCCCAAGACCTTCATTGGTGTACTATCAAAAGCTTGACAGACTGAAGGGCAACACACACTGCCAGTGTATGACAGCCGTCAAAATACCCACACCTATTGTTTACTGTAGAAGCACACATACTACTGGCATCTTGTCATGTCATTCCCAGTGCTGACGTGCATAAGCTGTATTTTCATGGCATATCCAAGCTAAAGCATCTTGATTTGCTGTCTGCACGACATGTCCGATGTGTATGATGATGTGTCATGCATTAAATAACCTGATGCCACACAACGCAAACAGTGTATCTGGTACTTAAAGTGCAGCTGGATGGTGGCTATGAGAATGAACTTGTCAAGCTCCCTAGTTTAGACTATGGAAGAAAAGATATTGGATATGTAAGACATCTGCTGAGATTGAAAATTCACAGTGTGTAAATGCATAACCCCCACATTCCAGTAGGCATGGCTGAAGCATCCCAGAAGCGGCTGTCCGCTCTGCTCCACATAGAATACTAGCTGGTCTGTTTTTTCGTGAGAAGCCACGATAGCCGTGAAATAAAACACAGCGCGCAGACTGCGGATGGAATTTCATGCTAGCTCAATCAGTCAGAGGCAGGTTAGAGGAGAGTTGTAGTAAGCTGTACAGAACAAATAAACGTGAAGCCAAACATCCGAGGAGTATTGAGTCTGTGGGGTTTGAAAATACGGTCACTGTATGCCTTTAATATTAGCATGAGGTGCTGGAGCCAAAAGCTAACAGGGACACCCTTGATTATTTTAATGTCAATATTCCCTTTAGTTAAGAATGTTGATCCTTGGGTCAATCCCATTATAGCCCATGTCCTACTTGCTTTCTAGCATCACAAATATCTTGTCTCATTTTCCCATTCGAACTAGCAGATAACTATCTTTGTTCAGTACTTACACAATGCAGGGTGGCACGCCGTCTCCCAGAGGGCTGCAGGGCTCCTTCTCCTCCAGCTCTGGGCAATCTGCTCCTCCACCAATTGGGAACTGGCTCACTTTCCTGATGCGAGTGTGCTGGCCCTTGGGCCCGTTTGGGTCGTAGCACTCCTTGGAGCAAGCCGACCATTCAGACCAGTCAGTCACATCACAGTCTTTGGTCATGACGCAAGCCTGGAAGGTCACTGGCAACGTCTCCTGAGAGCACAGGCTGAAGACGAGAAAACAAGAGACCATAAGACCAGATAAACCTTTAATACTTCAAAAAAGTTCAAAAAAGCACAATAAAAACCCTAATGTTACTGAGATATGCTGAAGTACGAAACAGGAGGATTGCAAATAAAGTCCGAAAACTGTGTTAGCTTTTTAGCACCTCCAGTTCCCTCTCCTCGAAGTCAGTGGATTTTTTAATGGGTTTTTGGTTAGATGCCACTGTGGTGTAGTTTGTTTGTAGCCTAACGTTAGCTTTTTAATTCAGCTGATCGCATTTATGCTTCAAAAATCATCAGATTATCTAGATGAACAAATTGTGTAAGTGAACAAGTTAGCAAGAATAAATATCGAACGTTCACAACTTCTGGGCAAGTTAGCAATCACAAATATTCAACATCAGGTTAGTCTTGCATGGTAATGTAAAGTAAAAAGTAAAGTAAAACAGCAGATAAAGGGCAAAAAGGTAGGAAGAGCAGCATTTTTTCCCTGTTGTGGATTATTATATTAAGAAGCAAATAAAGTAAATGTAGTGTAGGGATTACACAGATGTAAAAGGCTGGTGAAACACTGCTGTACACCCTACAGCTTTCCTTTGTCTGAGTCAGCCAGTATGATGGTTTGAAAGTTGTTCATTTACAAACCCAAACAATTTGTTATTCATATTTTCAGTGGCTGCTTCACAGCACCAGGGCTTTGTTTGATGAGAGGATTTCTGTGGAGCTGAAAGACACTGTTTTTTCTCTCTGTGTTTTGTTGAGGCTGATAGGCCATTTGGGATATTGGCACATGCCTCCTCTTTTTGTGCTTCTCTTCACGTTTAGTTTCAACAGTTAAATTTTTTCTTGAACTTCTGGAGCCCTTCTCTCATTCTTCTCTTTTAGTTCTTTCTATCTCTTTTTTCAGGTTTCTATCACAGTTCTCCTGCAGCCATTGGGGTCCTTTCTTTAAACTCTCCTTCTATGGTAAAGCCAGAGCAGCTTTGTCTAGGCACAGTCGTGATTATGGCACAATGAAGCTTTACAGATACAAAATGTAACCATTTGCACTTTGATCTAGTTTTTACAGATTTTTTGCTCATCTATTCCCCTCCAGTTGTTGCTGACATCATATTGTTTATATTATTTGCACTAGTAAGGTTAAACCATAACAAAATATGAATTAGTACCCTAATATAACCCCACTTCAAGAAACCCAAGCTATCCCCTTAAGTCACTATCCATCGCCCAATCAGTAATGGTGACTGAGCTCATGGCCCACTGATGAAAGCCCTTTCACCTGAAACTATTACAAACTGGGTGTTGGTGGCAACATTACTGGGAACAGAGCCGACCTAACCTCCCTGGGGTCCTAAGCAAAATTCTGCAAAGGGGCCCTCCTGCCAATCACTCCGTGAGGTTACATGGCGGTTAATGGGGCAAGCAAATCATGTTTGTCCCGGGTCACCCTAGCAGGTCATTTGGGCCATGCTTTATGTAATGCAATAACAGTGTCACACTACTTATGCCTCTGATAGACAAAATAAAACAAACCTGAACAAAAACAACCAATCGGAGCCAAGAAGGATAGTTAATTGTTGAGACTCATTCCCAGGTCATCAAATACCGATGCCGGGAATGAGACTCAACAATCAACTATCTTCAAGCTTCCAACCCAAAGCGTCTTTAGTCTTCCTCATCTCTGGCGATTGGTTGCTTTTGTCAGGTCCCTGGTGATTCCTTACAAATGCATTGAGAGCACTAGGAGGCCAGAAGGAACCTGATTGTTTCACAGATTATCTCTCATGTTCTACTGTCAGGATATAGTGAAAGTTTCAGCAAATATGACAAAAAGTTTTTTTTTTATAAAAAAAGGAATTACCTACTGCAGCTTTAAGCATTTGAACCAGTTTAATCAGTTAATGCTGTTTCAGCAGGATATCTTGTTATTCACTAGTGTTGGACAGATGCTGTTAGCACAACAAAAACTACTTAACAAAAAAGTGTTATTAGACTTTCAAAATCATGCATCGAAAAAGTTGTCTTCATAAAAAATTTTCTCTTCACTTGACAGCTTGCTGAACTGCTTGTTTTTTGGAATGCCAAAATAACTTGGCATTCCAATATTAACATATGCATGAAAATCTTAATTCAAAATAATACAATCTTGTAACAATTATTTCCAACAATTACAATATGTGTTTTCCTTTTAAAACACTTGATAAAGGTCCAGTAAGTTTGCAATTGATCATCATTTTAAAGCCTGGACCCTTGGGGATAATTAGCATCTTTAGCCACCAGATAGAATTATAATTCCCATAGTCATGGCTCCAACTGTAAATAAACTTGATCCTGGGCAACAGCCAACGTTAATACGGTCATCACTATCAACTAAGCCTCTTTGAAGCTTTCAGCCATCTGTGCTAAAAAAAAATTGTATCCCTATGTGGTAAGTAGTTATCAATCCTAGTGTGTATCATGGAAATATAATATTCTACTTTAATGCTGTGGTATGACGAGTGGCATTCGCTTGAAGTTGATAGCTGATTTATGAATCCTGACCTTCTCCCAAGCAATAAAAGCAAACTTATCACAAGAGCTTTGATTTTCTCAGGGTGTAATGGAGGCTGCTCAGTGGCCTCTATTAGAGTCGAGCAAGCGCAGTGAGACAGAATGAGGCCATTCATCTACTAACAAAGAGCACTGCTCTCAGACACCACATGGACATTGACCTCGCTGGAGGAAAATGCGTACAGAGACTGTGCATCTCAGGATGGAGCTCGCACTGGAGCTCTGGCGAAACGTCCAATGGTTTTGAGCTATGTACACTGAGGAAGTGGAATAGACCAAATGAGGTTGAACACTGGCTAATTGAAGCCAACAGAAATTTTCATCACAACCTTTGTCAGTATTACTGAAGCCCTGCATGGTAACATTATAAATTATGTATATCACAGACACCGTCCACTAATTAAACCCAAGCCTTTATATATGATTTTGAATAATCTCAATTAGCTCTGACTAAATATTAGATTGAAGACATAAAACTGAGATAGAACTCAAGGCTTACAAGGTTTCGCAACACATACAGTACAGTGTGACTGAGTGTTATGAGCCCTGACACTTGAAGCCACTGAGTGCCACAGATAATGCACTGAGTTGGAACATGTAGCACTCTGACAGTGCACAACAAACAAGCCACATTTCTCCCTGTGAAAATATATCACTAAGCTAAACAACACAGCTCTTCAATGGGCAATATAATGCACCTGAAATTATCCTTTACATAACAAATGAGTGTACATATGGGAAATGTGGGAGGTAGAGCAGGTCGTACACTAATCGGAAGGTTATCGGTTCGATCCTGGCTCCTCTCGCTCCATGTCCAAGTATCCTTGAGCAAGACACTGAACCCCAAATTGCTCCCGATGCTGCATCGGTGTATGAGTGTCTATGAATGATTAGTTTCCTTTGGTGAGCATTGCACTTGCATGCACACTGCCATCAGTGTATACATGTGTGTGGAATGGGGTGAGTGTAGCATGTAGTGTACAGCACATTGAGTGGTCGAAAGACTAAAAAAAGGTAGTTTAAGTACAGTCCATTTACCATTTATCTGCTGATGAATCAAATGATGAATGAAATGTCATGATTATTTCATCATTCATCATTAGATTGTTTATAAATTCTGCATTATTGGCCTTGAAAAAGTGTTGTGCTTCTTTTTTTATCCCTTCAGCTGCTCTGTTTGGGGATCAAACGTTTCCTTTTGTTGGTTTCAAAAAGCCACTTTCCCCCAGATAATGATTCTATCCCCCGAAGACAACTTACTGCAATTGCATTCACTGTGTACACTTTATGACGTGATACCCAAAAGGCATTAAAGGCTTGAGGGTGTATAATGCATTTGCAAATGTTATGATACGAAGCATAGTGCACACAAAAACTTATAATTAAAAAAAAACAATAGTAAGGTCCAATCATCTCAATGACATATTAAAAACACTGGGATTTAATGTTGTAAATTGTACACTGTCAGCCTGTATATTTCCCTGACTTCTGATCAATGTAATCAATGACTTATATGTGATAAAATATCTGATTTGAGCATAAATGCCTCAATAACACTGCACTGACAGACTGAAAGCATCAGAGCACATTATGCATTTCAGTCTCGTCCTCCTAAGAATAATGACAGCAATAGTTGTTTCAACAAATGCACCAAAACAACACATTTACATTCAAGTGACAAAGCCCTCTAGCTGCTATGGGAATACTTCTTGGAAAGTTGTGATCTGAACCCAAACCACAATGTTTCCCTGAACTAAAAAAGTCTAACCTTTGCAAGACAGCTGGATTCACAAGACCACGCTAGAATCCATCTTGCCAGGCTTTAATCTATCTGTGGCAAAACTACAGTAGTACCTGATTGATGTCTGGTGTCCTTCTGCTGATAGGGCGGTCAGATCAGAGAACACCTGGGTGTTATTATGCTCTCTGGGGTATGGACAAACAATGTACTGTATCTTCTTGTTTAACTAGGAGGATATGTTGGTACTTCAATTGAACCTCAAACTTCATTATGACTTTTCATCAATTTGATCTGATGCCAAATGGGATTAGGGCCTGTTCAAGTTATTATTCAAAGAACAAAATTGTTTTATTTCGCATGGTACATTAAAGACAGAGTGAGCGATTAATGCATCATGCAAGTACAAGGGCCGAAAAGGGGCATTAGGGTGTTTTATAAGTGCCAGATTTCCAACCATCCCATAAGAAATGTGCTGGGGGGGTTCTGGGATATCACAGTTAACAGAGATATCAATGTACTTCCTCCAATAGGGGCTGATCCAGGCAGAGAGCTATCCTCTGTTGCGCTCTGTCTCTAACCGTAATCTCAATGCTAAACCCTAACCCTAACCACAGGCCACTACATTCATTGTCCACATTCAATCCAGCAACCCTAACCCTACCTTTTGCCAATCCTAACGCTAGAATAACTTCAAAGTCCCAATTCTAAAATACTTTACCTTGATATATATGTGTAACCTTTATTCTAGTCTCAACTATTATCTGCACTGTACATGAAACCATGGGCATAAATCAAAGCTGTGAGGGCATGAGTTACTTATTTTAGTCATTCTTACCTGAGAGCTTCAACATTCCCACTCTTATGCACACAGGTCACTTCTCTGGTCTGGTAGCCAACCTGCAGGTCCCAAGACTTTCCTCCAGGGCGGTTCTGACGGTTCCTGTTCCTTTTCTTCTTGATGAGTTCTCTGGTCTCAGGATCCTTCACCTTACCCCTCTCCCTTAACCTCTCCCGGACTTTCTCTCTCATTTTCTCTCTTTTCTCTTTGTTTTTAGCCTTTTTCTGTCGTTTGGGCCTGTCTGCCTGTCGGGATGGCCTGTCTGGTTTCCTGTGTGCCTTACCCAATTTCCTGTTGGGTCTGAATACTTTATCACCGTCTCTGGACAGTTTATCAACCTCTTTGGACCTTTTGTTTCCTTCTCTGTGCTGTTTGTTACCCTCTCTGGTCTGTTTGTCCCCCCCTTTTGACTGCTTGTCACCCTCACTGGGCAGTTTGAGACCCTCTTTGGTTTGTTTTTCACCCTCTTTAGATGTTTTGTCACCCTCTCTGGACTGTTTGTCACCCTCTCTGGAAGGTTTATCACTTTCCTTGGATGGTTTGTCGGTCTCTTTGGGTGGTTTGTCAGCTTGTCTGGCTTGCCTCGGCATCGGGACAGAGCAGGGCCCCCAGGGTCCCACCCTAAGGCTGTAGAGGCTCTCCTCTCCCTCACAGGGCCCTGGCTGGCATGTCTGAAACTCAGTCAGGTTTGGGCAGGCTGACCCACCAAACAGTGGAGGAGCCAAAACAAAGCGGATCCGGTTCTGTAAACCCATCCCGCAGGTTTTAGAGCAGGTGGTCCATTGGCTGAACTCAGACACCACACAGTCCCGTGGACAGGGGATAAGACAAGCCTGCTCTAGACGCGGTTTAGGCTCAAAGTATTCACAGATTGCATCCTCTGCAGGCTCTGCATTCGCTTTCTGTACGCAGCCCACCTCACGGGTCTGGATTCCCTCATCTCCCCGGGTACACACAGCAGGGCGCTGCACCCCAGCACTGCGCATCGACACCGGGACACACTGGTTCCAGGCACCCAGCTGCCAGTCATACAAGTCTTTGTGCCAATCGCATACTCTGAAGCAGCTTTGCTGGTTGTCCGGCCGTTCTGTCTGATCGCAGTTGGTGTGCAGGGTGGTCCAGCCTTCGGAGTGAGCACACCATACTGCCCTGCTCTGGCTGCCGCCAGGTCCACACTCGCTGCCCATACAACGACCCCATGGACCTGTAAAGAATAAGACAACAGAGGTCAGGGGTCAAGCGAGACTTAACATAGAATTAAGGTACCTTCTTTAGGGATGTCAAAGAGTAATGCTCAACCTCTTTTCTTGGTTTAACTCCAGAGTATAACAACCATGTACTCACTAAGTACAGTCATAGCTTAGAACTGAGAACGCAGCAACATCACTAAATAGTTAAGTCATAGTTATGGCAAATACTATTGTCAGGAGTGTACAGTTTTACTGTTCTGTAAGCGAGTATCAACATATTTGGTGTTTCAGGTTAACCTCCAAATAGCGTGCCACAGCATGTTTAAAACTGATCTTTAAAATGTTAATTTAAAAAATGTCAGTCATGGATAATTCCTAAAATAATTATAATATATACCCTAAGTAAAAAATGTAAGTTTGATAAACTACATTTTATACTCAATAATCTCATTTTCAATGCAGTCGTTAAATGCTGTAAACGGTCGACTGCAGTTAAATGTCTGGAAAACAGTTTGATCCACTGCATTTTCCTCCCTGCCATCAAGAACGACAAACCTCAGCTCATGTTTCTCACTAAATTGTAAGTAAGTGTAACTTATAAATAAACGCAATGCAATACAACTTCAATGATGTCTTAGTGTTATTAAAAGATAAAAAAAATTGGTCTGCCATGTATTTAGTGATGGATTGTAAACTCTTTGAAATTTCAATAATTGTACCGCAAAATATTTTAAAAGGGGGTACTTTATTGAAAATAATTTGAGAACCACTGTCTTGGATAATTGTCTGATTGTCTGACTGCTGGTGTTTCTTGCCCTATGGGACTTTATTGTAGATTATGTCCCCATGTTCCCAGACCTTGGCAATTGTTTTGTTGAGTGCAATGTTATCATGACCAATAGACTACAAATAAAAATATAAAAGATGTAGGTGATTCATGGTCACCCTTTCACAAACGACTCCACTCAGTCCCAGCTGGTGACAAAAAGTCCATCCCTGATAAAGGATATTATTTATAGTCCTAAAGTGCTTCTAAAGACAACCCACTGCCATTCCAAATTGTGTATCTTTAACCTAAGTGCTTCCGCATGCTATAATAATTTCCTGACAAATACACACTTACTATTAAATCACTCTCTTTCAATAATGGGATTGCGCTTCCACTAGATTTATGAGAATGCAATTATACTGTAGGTCTAAGTAAACATTGACTTTCAGCAACAAAAAAAACTATTAGGAGCGCAGCAGATGCAGAGCCAGAGCAGCTGAAGACTCAATCAATACAGCAGCAACATAAAAACTAGCTGATGTGAGGAATGGGGCTACGATGGTGGGAACCTTTGGATTTTTTATTAGCTAAAGGGTGATTATTCAAATTTAAACTTTTATTTTAACAGTAAAAGGGTATAAATGTGAATTGTATTATAATGAATATTTTCATAAAAAACATATGCAACTGTGCATTTGTCCATACTGATCGCTAATCAGATCAATTAATCATTCTTCATTTTAGGCAGTATCTGCTAGACCTATGAAAACAATAACCATAGAATATTGACAAAACACAAACTTGAGAGAAAATCCAGAGAGAACAGATCTCACATCCTTCCCAACACTGATATTCTGATTTATCTCTGAGAAATAGTACAGTACAGTTTAGTGGGACTAAACTCAAATTATGGATGCAGACTAATAAAATTAAACGCCATTGCAATGAGCTTGAAAATGCAAAGCAGGATAAAAGTTAAATTCACATCATCCCCTAGATCAGCCGCAAGTACTCCCTCGACCTCTTGGTCAAACATAGACAATGCTGTTAGACTGGTTTAGTCATACAGAGCCTCTTCATGATGATTCATGACTGATCAAAGGCATCTTAATCACAGAACAGAAGTGGGTCATTTCTTCCCATCACCAACCACCATGGGCTCTGCCTGTGAACTGAATATATATATATATATCTACTAATAGTATGTACTGCATAGAAGTGTGTGTGTGTGTAGTGTGGTGTGTGTGTGCACTGTGTGGTTGTTGTCAAGGATATCTCAATCCAAAACCAAACCTCCCATGGTGGGCACTAAACAAGAGAGAGGTGCGAGGATCACCAAAGTCAATAGGATTCATCCCCTCATCATCTTGAATGTCTGTATGAACTGTCAGGGCAATCTGCTGAATGAATCCACTGAATTTGGTGGATAGACCAAACCCACAGGCTGCTGCTAGAGTGTCTTAAGAGTAGCATTCATCGAAACCAAATGGAGTGATTTGTCAGACAGCAAGAGTAGCCAGGAAAAAAATCTGAGCTGTAACTGCCTATTACTAGACAATAGGGTACATTTATTGTGCTCATAGTCAGAGGCTATAACAAACAGTGCTTTATGGTTTCACTCAATAAAGTTGAGATACAGCAATGAAAATGTCAGCGGAAGAAGCAGCAAGCTAAATTAGCTTACAGCTGCAGGCAGAGGGTCTGGATCAATACAAATCAATGAGGTAGCAAGAAACTAGCCCAGACACAAGAGACAGCTGCAGTCACAGATCTCACTGGCTGCCATTATCCTCTTTGGAAATGAGGAAATAAACCACAGGAAGAATAGGATATCTGAGGCACAGTGTTCGTTTAATTTAGCATACATTGAGTCAGTAATGAGATTTAGTGGTCAGTGATGAAAACCAATCGTAAATTGATTTTGTAATTAAAAATATAGACAAAAGGCTACATGCTGCAAGGCTAAGTAGCCATCTGGGCTGGAATTCTCATCCGCATCTAGCTCTCTGAAGAGGCGAGTGTGTTTATTGCCATAAAGTATTAGCTCCCTGACAGGCAGTATTGTCTCAGCCCCACGCAGGTGTTCGCCATAATTTATGAACAAGCCACTGAGTGACATGGGCCGACAGTGAGCTTAGAAGCCAAAGAAGAGTGGTTGTGCTCACGCTGGCCTACATCGCCTGTCACCCACTGAGAGGAGCCAGGAGGCATGGAGGGCACTGTGCCAACAAGGCTGAAACTCCAGGAGGGATGTAACACATCTTATCATACCCCGCCTCTGTCCTTATACTACAAACACTATTGTACTGACGAGAGACAAAGCAACTGTGAGGAGTTCGGCTTCTATCCGCTGATAATAAAGGAGTACATTGTTGTTGTTGTTTTGTGAGAAAAAACGTCTTCAGTCATCAGTCTTCTGGTTGGAATTCTAAGTTAGAAAAAGAACCATAGAAGAGATAATAAACTGGTGGCAAAAATGTCTGCAATTTCTAAAATCCCCATTTCTAAACTTAAATATTAACTTTAATTCAGTAGACAGACATACACTGTATGTGTTGGAAATCAGTTGTTAACAGACCACTACAATAACACAATAAATATAGTTCATTTGCATGATGTGACTACAAATTCAGCACCATCTTGGAATAGTATGTGTTATGCTCCCAGGAGGTTTTCCCACCTTTCACTACAATTGATTTTTTGCAAAATCATCATTATGTTCATGTGGAAAGAGCATTTTAACTGAAGCTAAAGCATATGCTGACTTGACTATGACCTTAATTTAAAAATAAATTAGGTAAATCTCAAAATTAGCACAGACATCATCAGTTTCTTCCATCTGTATTTATACACATATTAAGTGCTATATGAGGTATGCATATTACTTGCAGTGATGAAAAGAAAGGATCAACAATAAACAAGAAACTGAATTTTGCTAAAAAGAGAATTTAAGTGGTAAATGGTAAATGGAC